TATCGTACTAGACCTCCTCATGTACAATGAGCCTCTCGAAAAGACACGGACGGAGCGCCTAGAGAAGATCATGCTCGCCTCAGACTTTAGCGATCTCAGCGGCACGCCTGAGATGGTTGAGAAACTGCAAGAGCGCATTCGTCAGCTTCAGGACATCAAGTCCCACTTCCAGATATACTCCAAGTACATGGATCAGCGTGGCTGGGAGGACAGGCTTCTTCTGGAGCGGGATTTGGCAGCATGTGAAGACGAACTGTTCTTCATGATGAAGGCCATCACGTCTTCACAGCGGAGATACGAAACGAATTCGGAGAGCAATGCTCTCCTCCGCTGGAGCATCACAGCACGAGACACGGTTTGGCATATGCTTCGAGACAACAAGGAACCGCTTGTCGAGCTGCAGCTCAAGGATGTAGAGTACGATCGCACCGATAACGCCGACGGGTCGCATATCAACTTGATCAGAGTCGGCAAGGTCTTTGGACTGAACCTCCTGCCCGACGCCATGTACCCGGAGATCATTGCGCCCTACGCAGAAGGCGACAAGGATTTGGGCAACCAAGAAATGATCCGGGTATACTGGTACATGCTTGAAGCCATCGCCGGTATTCCCGTCATGGATCACTTCGAGGTCAACTTGTTCCCTATGAAGATTCAACTAGAACGCGAGATTGGCAAGAGGGTCTTTGAGTATATCTTCCCGGGCATCGACGGCGACAACAAAGACAAGAACGATTCTCCGTTCATGCTCAAACATCAGCCTACCGAGGATGATGGGGAAGACGACGACTCGATGTCTGGCTCTGGTCGACTGACTGCTAGCGATAAGGACGGATTCAGCACCCGACCGGGCTCACTTGAACTGCGTCTACAGCCTACATTAAACTCTGACTCTCCCACCAAGTCTATAAGCAGCAAAAAGTCGCTTACAGTCAACACAGGCGAGGGTCAAGGCCACACCTTCCGCCTCTTCCGCTCCGTCGGTACCGGCAAGGTTCCAACCAAGAAGCCTTCATACGAGTCACTCAAGTCAACAAAGGAGCCTCGCCCAGGAATCGGCCGTACCTCGACCGGCTTCTCATCAAAGGAGAGCACGCTGCCCGGTGACAAGAAGTCGCGCTTCGGCCGGCGCAAGGAATCAAAGGCGGAAGATACCAAGCCGTCCGACGACCTCACCAAGATGATGTCGCGCGCCAGCAACTACATGACCTTTGCGCACATCAAGATGCCCTCGGTGGTGCTTTGCCTCAGCTACAAGGGCAAAGACAACCGCAACGTCGAGGACGTGCACGACTTTGTGTTCCGCATGCCGGCGGTCGAGTGGCGCAACAAGACGTGGTCGAACCTCGACCTGGCTCTCGCGCTGAAGAAGGCCGTCATCAAGGCCCTCATCTCGCATACTGGTGCTATTATCGGCAACAAGTTCAAGCATCGCCCGAGTAATACGCAGGCCAGCAAGCTACGGGAACTTGCCAGCGGGTCATCGCTCATCGCGCCGACGCCGTCGTCGTCGTCACAGCATGACGCGGAGAGTATCAACAACAGCGACGATTCGTCGAGCTTATACGGCAACTCGCCCGTTGACTACTCCCGCTCGCCACCACGCTCTCACCATGGCAGCTCAGCCAGCAGCATTCCCATCCCGCGGTCGACTAGCCGGAGTTCCAGCGTTGCGAGCGGGCGGTCCCGTAGGACAGGCGAATCAAGTCTCCAGCAGCAACAACAGCAGCCCGCCGTCCCGAGCTTCCTCATGATGACGCCGCCAACGCCTCTCGATAGCCGGGCGCCGACGCAGGGGCTCGGGTTCGAGTTGCTGAGGCCTTCTAGTAGGAGTAGTCTGGCGCCGTTTGACCAGGCTGGCGGGGGCACGATTCGCTCGCTTTCACGGTCTGCGACGGGCGCGGAGTCGGGAGATCGGAGGAGGTCTGCGGGGAGTGGGTTCTTGAGGGATAAACTTAATGCGCTGACGCACCGGAAGCGCGATGGGAGTTCGAGGGAGGGTGGTGGTGTTCAGGGCCAGGGGCAGGGGCAGAGGGAGGATACGCCTGAGCGGGAGGAGGAGGATTCGAGTGCTGCGGCGGCGGCGGCTGTGCCTGAGAGTCCCAAGGGCACCAAAAGATTTCCTGGTTTGAGCCGGGTGAAGACTGGGTCGTAGGAGGCCTACTGCTGAATTCTTCTGGCGGTTATAACCAAAGATGTTTTTGCCTGTTCAAGAGTACAAGGTAAAATTGGAGGTCAAGAATCATGTTTTTCAACTATTGGGGGGTTAGACTGGGGATTGGAAGAGCGGGATGGGAGGGATAACTATTAGATTTGCTTTTGTGTTTGAAGGAGGGAGGAAGGGGAGAGGGAAGGGGGGAATTAAATACCCGGCGTTGGCTGTGGATATTCAACCACGTTATATTTCTGACGCTGATGGTACAATTATAAATACAAGACCAAATGCATTAAAGGGGTTTTGTGATCTTGTTTGCTTTTGGATGTGAGGTTTCGTAATACAGGTGTGGTGTTGCGGATGTTGAGAAAGAGGACGAGGAACGAGACGAGGAGTGGGAGATGAGCAAGTGATGGAGAGCGTGAGCGTCGAACGGAAAAGGAGCAGATGGGGCGAGTGAGGATATTGGCGGGAGCCAGCAATAATATGATATAGCAAGTGTATTCATATCGTTTGTTGTCTTGATACACCCTCTTGCCGAAGCGATTGGGCAGTTTTGTAAAACCCTGATACACAATACTAAAGATTGAAGAAAGAGTTTTGAGTTCCAACACTGGACATCAGGCAACGGGCCTCCGGAAGAAGAAGAAAGGGATAATACCATATAATCCTTCATCTACGCTTATGGACGAGTGAGAAATGGTATTGTAGACTTTTGATACTGATAAAAAAAAAGTCTATCTTAATCAAAGCTTCTCGATTCAATACTGAAAAATAGATGTACTGATCTCTCAGCCTTGCTGAGTCCACCTCCAGAGCCGATACTCGAGTTCAGACTTTCCTTGCCAATCTACACCTTACCATGAGCACGAGTGGCATCCTAGATAAACCTGTGAATCTCATCGGACCGCCATCAGGGGGGAACACATAACAAGCTAGCCATAGGACGAATCCTTGAGACTTGGGTTCTTGAGATGGCTAAAGTCTACATCATGTGCGCTTCCAGTCAGAGGAAACTTGGGTTAGACCATTGTGCGTAAGGACAAGTTGGAACCTTTATATTATGCTAGCTGTGCAGAGACTTAGACAGGTACCCGTCGAAGGAAACTTGGAGAACGAGAGTATAGCAGTTCCTAAAGAGACGGAATCGGAAAACAAAGAAAGATTCTCCTAGAAGGCTGGTTCTAAAGAACACAACCCCCCCACCCCCCCATTGCTTTCGAGATTGGTATGTTAGTGATGAGTGTTTACCTAAAGGGGTGTATGTCCGTGGAGTTACCGATATAAAGGGCGAGATATTGACGGTTGTTGGCTTGCTCATGTCACATTAGGGAAATCGTTTCACACTCCACGGAGGCGGCTAGGTCGGGGCTGGCGAAGTGTAACGAAAGGGATCACGAGTCCGTAGAAACACACATGTGGGCAGATTTACCAACATTCGCGTGAGAAATGGCAGAGGAATCTACACCATCCCGAGATCAGTCTACTCACTTCCTTGTATAAGTCCAAACTGTGAACTAGCTGAACGAGAAGGCCTTGTCGAATGGCAAGGGCTGCTGGAGGTTGGCATGTGGTTTACATCGTTTCCACGAGAGGCTTGTCTCGTAGCTCCAACCACCACTAGTGATGGCGGCGATGCGGGGAAGCTTCAAGCCAAAAGGTCTCGCCTCTGAGATCCTCAGGAGACGCCCAACTCTGGCTGGACAAGGTCTAGACCTTGCAAAGATGTTGAATTGAAGGCACCTCGTTAGTAACAACCACTTCTTGTGTCTACTGTAGCTCTCCCCGTGTGCCTGATGGTGGCAGGCCGCGTCGTCAAGACAAGAACGTGACAGCCCGTCCGAATGTCTCCTCCCAGGAGCACCCATACTGAAAGTCGCTGCTGATGGAGCACATGGCTGTCAAAGTGTGGTCACGAATAGTAAGATGTGGAAAGCACCTGAGGTGTGCAGCCACGCACAAGACAGAGGTCTCGAAGGGGGGTTACCGGAATAAGCGGCCACAAGACTACGAGTAGCGAGGTATCGGGCGGAAGCGCATTTGGCGGGTTTGAGTTTAGAGGATGAAGGGCCGTGCGGAAGTACAGGACGCCGTTGAGATCCGGAGCCGTGTTTTGGGGTCTTGGCGCTGATGTTGGTGTTGGAGTCCGCGCAGTCAGTTACCTAGAGGGTTGCCGGAACTTGGCCAACGGATCAATATCGAAACTTGCATAGAAGCCTGTGCAGCCCGCCAGTGCTCGTGCCACCATCTCGTGCGCGGCGGCAATACTATGCGTGTTCTTGGCCCGATGCTGTCGAGCTGTGCGAGATGGGTTTTAAGCAGACGTTTGTGACGTTGAACCTTGGACAAGCGATGATTACCGACTGCTGGGCAAATGTCCCTTACATGTCTGGACTTCACCCATGCCTTTTGATGGTTCTACCCCGCAAACCATGGAGAAGTCAGCCATGTCTTGAGATGGCTCCGACTCAGTTCCTCGCTGAACCTCCAAGAACCCACAACGACCATCCCCGTTCCCACTCACACCCACGCCAGAGCCCAGTCGACGATGCTGGCGTTGTATGACGCATGGTTGGAGAAGAAACAAGCGAATCAGAAGAGAGCGATAAGGCAACATCTGAGACCCTCGTGAGGGTGTGGGATGGCGTCGCTAGATTCGTGATGGTGCAGATGATGACTCTTGCTCGCGACTGGGCCATGCGCTAACTTCTAAGTCTGATCGGTTTTTGAGCACGCACAATGTGTGCAAGCGGCTGGCTGGGCCGGTGTTTGAATATGGTCTTTTGTAATTCCATACACGGTTTGGACGGTACGGATACACCTGGCTCGTCTCATGTCACTACACATGGCTGCATTTGACGATTGGTCCGTCATGTATGCGACAAATGACGGGCAAGATGATGGGCTGCCTGCTTTGTGAGCATCAACTAGGTGGTCGTTACTGGCCCGATGTGTCGCATCCAGGCATCTATAACTGATGCAAAAGACCGAATCGGTGGCTGGATGTTTGCGGTATTGATAGGGATGGAAGTGATGGGCGGCCAAGATGGCGGGGTAAGGCGGACGAGACGAGTGAGACAACGCCCACTGAGACAGTCCTGAATATCATCTGGAGGTAGGCAGCCCTTCCAAGAATACCACCATAGCCCGCGTGGCTTCCGGGCTTTATGGAAAGTTGCCCTTGCTAGCGAAGCACACCTCGGTGCACAACGTGACAATCTACACATAATCCAGGACTGATGGTTCGTATCAAGCAAGATTCCTGGTTTGTTGCCCACGTGTTAGGTTTTGTGGCCGAGGCGAGCAACAGGTCAGGCTGGTTCGGAGTTCAATGGACGCCAATGTTGAAGCGTTTTGCACGAGATATGGCTTGATGGTTGGATGGGCGAGCTCACAATCATCGGAGATGCGGGCATCTCGTCCGTCGTTCCTTTGACCAAGCCTCCAGTTTACTCTCGTTGTCTAGGTGAAGATGGCGATGACACGTCCGACGGTGCTGAAAGCGGGAGAGGCGCCCAGAGGATCGACGTAGGCCGTCGCACGGGTGGGATCCCGTATCGGTTCCCGAGGACTATCGACAAGCTCCGGCCAGGTGCTATTGGATCAAGCAGACGAATGAGCGACATGGGGCCTGGGCAATTGGGCGACCATCAGAGCGGATGGGACGGAAAGCGAGTTGGGTATGGCGCTAAGGCTAGCCTGGTGGCAGATGGTCGAAGTTGCTCTCCGTTCGCCTGCCTGTCTTGTCGATGAGAGCGAATGGCATAGGTCGACAGGGATTGGAGAAATGGAGAGGAGCAAAAGGCAATGGTCGGGGATGTCTGCAAGCTGGTGGAGGAGCGAGAAAGCAACGCGCCGTCGCACGGCTCAGCAGTAACCTGGGGTCGGAGAAGGCCGATAAGAAAGCCAAGGAGGTTGCTGAGACTGGGGAGATGCAAACTCCGACAACGGGGCCGGTGATATGGGCATTGGCTCTCGGGCTGAGCTCCGTCCGAATTTCCAGGCACGATATTAGTGTTCACGATAGAACGGAAGTTCCGATGCGTCTTGCTTCCCCAGCGTTCTTCGGAGGCAAGGGCCGAAGTCTGAAAATGGTCACAAGAATTAGCAACCTCTACACACGATCGGTGCTTGATATCTAGGCTATTGTCAGCTCAGGGCAGCGACAAGGCCTGGCTGGTGGTTGCTAGGTGCTAGGCACACTACTGTATAAGTTGTTCACACTGGTACAGAGTGTAGTCGGCCGGGACCTGCGGTGGTGTCCAAGTCCAGATAGAGGGGCGTCACGGAGGGCTTTCGGAAAGATGTGCAATTGGGCCTGGGGTGGTCGGACGGGATGGGGGATTATCATTGATGGGACGAAAGTGTCGATGAGGGGAGGGATGGTGGCTTGTGGTGTTTGGTGGGCGCTGATAAGAAGGAGAAGCACGAGGGCACAAGACATGTTGAAGTGAAGTGCGAAGTACCTAGGTACCTGCCGTGCATGCTTAAGGTATCCAACGATTGGACTCGCATAAAAGAGTTGGGGCGCATAAAATGGCAGGGGCAGCTTGTGTACGTTGCATAACAAGGCTGGACCTTCCAGCTCAGCTGAACTGCCAGACTGCGCCTTCCAACCAGTGGCCAGCTTTTGGAGGCCTTTCGGAGGCAATGCGGGCAGGAACAGCGAGCCAGGAAGTGGGAAATAAACGGGTCCGCGAAGTACCGTCGTCACCGCCCAAGCACTGAGCAGTTGGGCTTGACTGCCCTGAGGTGTGGTTATGCGTCTTACATAAGGTGGTTGATTTCTGATTGATCACCAAAGCAATCCCATCGCTCTCATTGGCTCGTCTCCCGAGAGCGAGTGGCGGTCCGCCATTTCCACAACCGTCGACGGGGGCCACCTATGATCGGGTCAGCCGGGCACTCTCACGGTGAGACCTTGCTGAAGAGTCGTGGGATTGTCTTGATTGTCTTGGACCATGCCCGCTAGACTCATCAAAAGAGTCCACTATTATGACGGGCTGGTTTCCATCTGCCACTGTTCCAGTGCTCCAGAGCCACTGATGGGCGCAAAGGGGTTCAATCCAAGCCTGTGGATCGTGTCATTTAGCGCATGGAGGGAGGAGGGCGTCGAGGGCTCCGTGCTTGTCGGTGGCCTTCGGTCATGTCCTCTAATCGTTACAGCGAGATGGATCTCGGGCATTACCCGGAGTGCACAATTGTAATTCGAGACTCGAGAGTAATAAGAAGGTATGCCTAGATGGAGTTTCCAGCTTGATGTTGGAGAAATCCAAAGCACTTTGGACTGGGGTTGCAGTCAGAACGTGGGATTCTGGCGCGTGACTTGAATACGGAGTCCATGCGGATACAGGTAGGAGTGAGACTCTGACGGAGAGACACAGAAACGGCAGACAAAGTGACCCCCCCCCCCCCCCCCCCCCGTAGTCTCCATTCCCCGTGTTCCCCCTTGTGGCCCTTGGCCGTCTTGGACCCCCAAAATCTCATGTCACCCCAAACTCTAAGCCCAAAACATGCGGGTGAAAGGTGACGCTGTTGCCAGTAGCCGGTGGGAAGGGGGAGGAAAGGGCATGGGGAAAGGGGATTGGAGGCTTTGGAGTTTCTTATCAGTGACTTTTGCTTCGTACACAAACGTGACACAGTGACAATGAAATTGGAAAGTGAACCCTCCCTGAGCTGTTCCCTTCCTTACGGTCACCACTGTGTCGTGTACGAAGTAGGTGTGTAGGTACTCAGCCGGCCTGTGCGGCGGTGCGCCCATCCTTCGTTTGGTCGTTCGGTCTTGCTTTCTTTGGTGACCGGGTACGAACAGAAACATCTCCAAATCGGGCAGGCAGGCAGGCAGGCGGAAGGGAGCAAACGAGGCAGGCGCACCTCCTTCCTTCTTTCTCCAGGTTGGGCCGATATTGCAAGTACCTCCATCCGTTACCTGGCTTCCTGCCTCCCACCCCAAGTTGCCATGTCACCATGTACTTTCTGCCTTCTCCAGATACCCTCAGGCAGGCGGGACGGGGCTTCAGAGGCAGGCAGAAGAAGCGACGGAAAGAGAAAAGGGGACAAGAAGGAAAGAGCATGTCTACCGGTACCAAAGTGTCCTTCCTCAGCTGAGACCGTGGTGTGAGGTTGTCCTTTCCCATATGTGCCTCGCTCTGCCTTGTTTTGCCTCCCTCTTGCGGCTTGCCCCCCGTGCCTCTAGTCATTCAGCCATTTTTACGATTGACCTCCTTCTCTGCCGGGACTGGGTGACTGAACTGAGGTGGACTGTGACTGCCCCGTGCTGAGTTGTTCAGCCCGGGCGGGCACCACACCACGCTCTATTCGTACCTATTCGTACACGACTGTCGACACACCACGACACACCCTCGACACCTTGCAAGTCGATTCCTTATCTCTGGCCTCCCATCTTGGCCCCCCGTATCAGGGTTATCAGTGTCAGAGCATCAGTGCTTGCCCCAGTCCACGGCCCATCTGCTGCTCGCTCGCTGCCTTCCCAACTCCCGTGTGCTTCGATTACCTCGATGAAGTGACATATCTGTATCATCCGTAATCAGTCAGGCAGGGCAACTTCGATCCAAGTCTGATTACCTCTCTGTGCTTGGCCACCTAAAAACACAGAACCGCCCATTTTGTGCTTGCCTCAAGATCTGCCTCTTGTTAGAAGCCATTCTCAACCTCTCAACTGCGACTGTGCCGCCAACTGCGCGAGTCGCTCTCTCGCTTCCTCACTTCGCCACTCTTCAACTCAAGGCCTGTCGTCATCTCTGCTCCTCGACCAAGGCACTGCGCAACGGACACGGGTACCGACCCAGTCCCCTTTCGATCACAGGCGCCAACATCTACCCCGATAACCCCGGATTTCGACCATCACAGAACTCCGGGTCCAGCCAACCCTTCCGAGACGAACCTCCGACTAATCGTACCTAATACTAATAGACAACATCGTCATCTCGAGTCTCGAATTCCTCCTCGTGACGGTTGACCATATCGTATCCTTCCATCTCCAAGGACGAAAGCATCAATACCCCAAGTCACCGCCAGGCCTTTCCCTGTGGTGCAAATCGATAATAGCATCCTCCACACGGTCGATCATCGTCACCTCTCAACCTCTGACGACGTACCCGACTCGCGCGCACTTGGCTCTCCACACTCTATTCAACCGCGAGACAAGTGACAAACCGCACTTTGCACCTTTTGACAACCCAAATCGGACGTTGTCTGGTACTATCTGCAAGGGCAGCAAGCAACATTCTCCCAGCCCGCCTCCTTGCTTCTCGATCCCTCGCCTCGTCTGCAGCTCCAGTCAAAAGCCGGGTCCGAATACCACCAGGAACCACACATCACATCGCATTACACGATACAAGCCTTTCGGCCCCGTGCTCCGCTGCGTCACGTCCCAGCAATCATTGCCCTTGAAAGTTCCGTCGCGATTCCTGTTGGAGAAGGACTATACAAAGCCTCAACGCTGATTAGCTGCGAGACGGTTAACTTTACGTTACCAAAACATCGACAACCCCTGCCCCCGGCACACGACACACTCAAGCAGCGACCGAAAGAGGATACAGTACACGCGCTGGAGAAAAGGCAGAAAGCCAAAGGCCAGACGAGCACGTCCGTTCGACGCCAAAATTCTGGCCGAACTGGTCCCCTAATCGTGGAGGTAACCCTACTTCGTCTACAGCACAGTATCCTCGCCCTCGCTGCAGCAACACTGTGTGGTGGCCTGTACGAAATAGTGTACATCAAGTCCAGTGAATCCACTGGTTTGGTCTGAGGTGTCTGAACCATCAACTCGCCGTGCCCACGCAACTCCACTGGTCGACCCAGCCCATCTCCTTAGCTTGGCCCGCCGGGGTTTATGCTGAGCAGTCAAGACTGAGAGCCCGCATCAGCCCGCTTGCTTTTGCTCTTGACCTGCCCTGCCAGGCCCAGTCCCGGTTACAGCACCACACCCTGAGTTACACCCTCCTCCCCTGCCCAACGCGCTGCGGCCCCGAGCTGGTTGTGGTTGTGGTACGGATACTGGTTGTGCTCGTGCGTACTCGTGCCTGGTCTGGTCCCCCCTTCCACACCCCTTCCCTGTCAACCTGTCTTGCCTGTCGGGACCGGCTTGCCCCGCCGAGCCACTGGCGCACCAGGGCATGTCCAGACGCCGCCATGATGTCCCCAAGGAGTTTCCTTTACTACAATAGGCAGCCCTCGGCCTCGACCAACCCTCCACCATCCTCTCCCTCCCCTTCAAGTCTCACGCGCAAACCGACCAACAACAGCTACGCCGTCAGCCCGAGATCAACTACTACTGCTGCTGCTGTTACAAAGACGACATCAACCACTCCCGTCAACATCCCCAGAACGGCTCTGCCTTCTGCCCTACTGGATCGGAAAAAGGATGCTCAGAACGTGTCCTTCACCCTCACGCCTATCCCTACTTCTCCCACTACCACCTCAGCTACCATGGCCAAAAGGAAGGATGCTCGCCGCGAAACTTCTAAGTTGGCGCCCTCGAGCCCTCCCCGGACAACAACCAGCGTAAATACTAGGCCGACCACTCCGACTACGCCTGTTCAGATTCCTTCAAAATCAAAGGCAACCCCGTTTTACACCTCCAACCGCCATGCGCATCGGAAGCCCTCCCGTCCGAGGGACGTTCACTCGCCGGATGCCGTCCCGCCTGCTATGCTGGCCCTATTGGCGGTCACTGACATTCCTCGGCCTCGACGCAGTTTGAGGCAAAGGCTATCCAGAGACCAGGCCATGACTTTGGAAGCCGTTATCGAGAGACAGCAAGTTTGTGAAAAAGAACTTAGTCTCACTTTTGGCAAGAGTCCCCTGGACCTACTGTTGTCGCCACCCGACGACTTGACAGACGACGATATGTCAGTTAGCGATAGCGGTCTTGGTTCCGTATTATCCACCAGAACTGTCTCTGTGGAATCAGTTCCCTCACTGGGCGATTCCTTTTCCACCGATACACTATCTTCGGTTGAGTCACCGTATGGATCCAGCCCGCGAAGGAAGCGCTCACGCCAACCCAGGCGTTCGCTGGAGCCCATATCGTCTCCTCCCGGTCAGCCCGAGGACCACCCGTTGTCCCGCGACCGGGTCAGCGTTGATGAGATTGACTTTAGAGTATTCGACGAGTCTCAGGATGAGGAGAACACCAAGTCAGAGTTCTCCTTTTCTGACTACACCTTCCCGCTGCGCCCTCTCAAGTCAGCGTTCAAGTCCAATTTGACTGCATCGCTTCGCGCCCTGCGCTCGGCTGCACGATCCATCTCAGCCATCAACTTTTCGTCTATCCCGCCCGACGACTTCCTCACGAGATCCATTCTCACCATCGACCCCAAGGTCCCTTATACGGATGAGCGACGACCCCCGGTGCTTGAGGAGGAGCCGTCGGCTGCGTTGCGTCGGTACCTGAACCCCACGACAAACGCTCGAATTGAGCCCCACCCTGTAGCGGCCACTACGCCGACGGGCACGCGAAGCTTTACTGCGTCTATCCAGATGCAAACATACAAGGTTCAGAAAAGCCGGAGTGCACCACCCACGTCAACTCGGAGCCCCTCCCCGGCGACATCGGCGGTCACGACTCAGTCAACACCTTATCAGCCCCCAGCACAATCTCCGACCCAGACCGCATTCACGTATCCTCCCGGAGGCATGCGTCAGCGAGAGATGCGGGAGAACTCGGACTTCATTCGTATCGCGGTCATGGAGATGGCGATGCGCAAACAGGGCAAGCTCGATGACCAACGACCAGGCCGCGCTCGCTGGGCGTTGCCGCCGCGAAAGGCCAGCCTACGTCCTTACGATGTCGGCACCGACGGCGTCCCGGCACGATGGATTCCAGTGTCGCATTGAAGAAAGTGTCATGCGAGCTTGATGATTCAGTCAACTATCTACCCCATATCGCATCAACCCGACACAGTTCACTCTGAAGACAAGAGAGATGTAACACTGCGCACCGATGCCGCAGCGTGGACAGACCCCACGGCTTGAGCACGTCACAATCCTACGAGGATTGAAGTTCCATCCATCCATGGCCGACGGCAAGCTTGTTTTTTTCTTGCGATGGGTGTGGCTTGTTCCATGGCACGGGCATCCGCCCTCCTACAAGGTGCAGCACCACGACGGTGCTGTCCGCGGAGAAGGGCAGAAAGCGAGAAGTGGGAGGGTCGGGGTTCTGCGACATGTTGTGGGCTTGCCCTGATTGCACCGTCACTACCGGGTGGAATCGTCATTCAGCAGGGCCCCCCGAGGCGCTAATTTACGGGGAAGCGTTGGGGCCCGCATTCCTAAGCAACAAGGGGCCAGACGTTAAGTGCCTGCCTTATCCGATATCGCGGAATGGTCAGCATCATCGCGCGTCTGGCACTGTGGTTTCCCTGTCGGTCTATGGTCAGAGTACCGAGACGAGGGCTCCATTTTCTGCCCGAATCGTCGAACAGGCCGTCTGGGGCACCCAAGACGAAAGAGACGCTGTTACGCTGGAACTGGCACGACTGGCTAGCGCCCCCCAAGGATTTTTCTTCTCTTTCCTTCTTGCGCTTCTAGAAGGAGTCGATCTGCGGGCCTTTTCTACATGCTCTTACCTTACCGTTTGGTAATAGCCAGAGGCACTTTTGCATTTCGCCTACCGCTTGCCGCCTACGGGCGAGGAACTTTTTAACGGCCGACGGCCGACGGCACGCTTTTTTCGAAATGAGCACGCACACCCTTTTGCGGGTCAACACTACCTGCTGTTTTTGTCGACTTTTCTAGAAGCGAGTATCACCGACAGAGGGAGCGGACCGCGAGGCCCGAGAGGGATCTTGGAGCAATCTGAGTGAGTCACCCGAGGCGTACCAAAGAAACAGGGGAAGGACGGAGCAATCCAAGCAAAACGACGGACGCGAGATGCGCTGGCAGGAACTTGCCCTACGAAAAGAACGGAATTGGAAAGGGGTTTCTCGAACGACAGAATTGGTGGACACACGTCCGACACACCCTTCGCGCACAAGCGCACACGGCATACACAGCCAAGCGTCCGTACCTACACGGCGCGGTTCCGAGAGCATGGCCTGATGCCACCGACATGCGACGAGCACCTCCGAGTTTCCTCCTAGCGAGTGAGCCTGGGAGATGCGGGGCCAAGACTGCCCGGCGACGTGGGGTCGCACTTGACCTCCAACACAGCATAACGCACGCTGCAAAGCCTCCGGCACAAAACACACACACACACACACACACATTCACATGGGTGAGCCAGAGGACCAGGCCACCACTCACAGCACCTTTGATTTTTATTTGATTCAACACCATATGCATAGCGACGGACTGGGATCATGAGCATTTGAGGCGCATGCATATTACCATTTTTTTTTCTTCCATCTTTCTTTCCACCCTCTCATTCCATTCTCCCTCCGCGCCTCCGGTTATTTCCTACGACGCTGGACACGACCAGGAACTTGAAGACAGATCATTCTGAGGACTCGAAACCCGTGGGTTCGTCGATATCCACTCGGAGGACAGGCCCACACCTCACACGCGGCACGAACTCGGAGGGCGCAATCTGCGGGGACTCTTCATCGGATCCGGCTCAAGCAAGAGTCCCCCCCACGCCAACAGCCCATCCCCTGGCGAGACATTGACTCGGCCCTCGCATGTGAAATGCAGGCCGAGTTGTGACGCCAAAATGACCAAACGGGGACGCAGCGACATGACTCAGTGACAGCGCACGCACAATACACGGCGGGAAAGGAACAGGGCTGGGAAGGATTTTTTTTTTCTTTCTTTCTTATCTATGCATGCGAAATGCAAGAGGACACTGCGACGACGCAGGAGAGCCGGAGTTTTGGATTAGGAAGGTGCTGCCGCGAGGGATGATTTATTACGGCGCAGCGACAATTCCCAATGTGTTAGGACGGGAACATGGGAATTCAACAATACGGCATCAGAATCCGTATGGGTAGCATAGGCGCCCGCCCTATTGGGGCACTTTTCTTTTTTTCATAGCCGCAGAGCCCAATCTTACATCACATATTGAACGAATATCTTAACAAGCATTTACTGGCAGAGGTTGGAGAGTTGAGTTACCCATATACAGTACTTTATGCAGGGCAAGCCGCAAAGCCCAGGAACACGTTGCGCGAACAAGGGTCACAAAACGCACTGATGCATAGAGGCCTAACCCCAATGTTTACTTGGAGCAATGCCAGCCTGCCAGGTGGGTGCAGGGCAACCGCCAGACACAAACTGCTGACCGCCTTGGCTGGCGCAAATGTACGGATAGAGCGTGCGAAATTGCGACAATGTGACCGGGGTGAGCAGACAGGCGGTCAAGTCGCCCAAATCACGCTCACAGGTGGCAGAAGTATCGAGAAATTGAGGTTGGGCTGCGGATCATCATTCACCGCAGAGAAGGGCAGATGCGGCCGAGCCGAAGACGTGGCTCACGACTGGCATGTCTTGCCTGTCTTCTCTTGCCATGTCGTGCTCGCTTCAAGTTAGCGGACCGACATACTATCGGACTTGTCGGACGACGATGCCCTACGCTAGTTACCTGGTGGTGGGGGCGATTTTGATTCTCACTTTCGTAATTACCTAGGTAGTCTTCATTTTTTTTATTTTTATTTTAGTAGCACCCACGCGGGCCGGAAACATTGACATTTTGACAGTTCCATGTCCGAGAGACAAGCGAAGCACCAGCCGCCAGCCTACGGGATTCGGGAGTGCAAAGGCAGGCCACAGAGTGCAAACATTGAACACGATAAGCCCACTTTGTGCACTTGTGCGCTCGGGGGCCGCCACGCCTCGGCAGTTGGCAGCCATTAATGCCACCACTTGCCCAAGGAGAATGCGGAATGCGGAAATTCCCACTCTCGTCCGATCGGTTACGCGGTTCACGGATAGGGCTCCAGTCTCCCGACTCTAGAGCGTTCTCCAGTCTCCAGAGTATCTGTACTTGTACGGAGTACAGATACTTCACACAGAGTGAGCATGTTCTTTTGTGGCCGCAGCCCAGTGCGGGAAAAGTTCGCCACCTCCTTGCAGATGATGTTACCAAATCGTCGGGATCCGCTCGGGACGTCGCGCGTTACGCGATGGTGTGCCCGTTTGCACATGGCTGTGGCGACGACGGTTGGTATCTGCGCTGCTATGTCTACGGAGTACGCAGTACTGGGGCTTGTCAGTCATTACGGTTTCTGTGCCTTGTGGCCTTCTTTTCTCAAGGGTTTTATGGATATTGTAACGTGTTGAGGGACAATTTTATGGGGTCCCAGAAACTCCCATGTGGTGTTCCAGGGAGAACCAGTCAACCAGAGCAGTTCGAGGTAATTAGGGGTCTTTCTTGCGGGCGCTCCGAAGAGGGGGATGAGGAGTATCCTTGCAAGTTTTCTTACGATGTCTAGGAAAGCAATTTGTTGACAACCAGAAAACACGGTCAACATCGTATGGATAAGGAAAGCCCTAGGGTCAATCCTTGGGGCGTGAGGTTCGGAAGAGCAAGGACTTGACGGTGAACTTTGCACAGGGCTCCGGTGGGTGTAAGTCTACCTTGGGATGCAGGGATCCGCGGGTGATTTCTCATTTCCTTGCGCGCTGCCCGCTTCTTTAGCGGAGCCTTGCTCACACTCTTTTTTTTTTTTTTTTCTCTCTTTCTCATTGTCTCTCTCGTTCCCCTCCTGCCAATTTTTATTGGTACACGGTAGACCAAAATATGGAGCCAACCGACATCGTGGCCTTCTAGAAGGAGGTTGGGATGTTCCTTGGCTGGACTGGGCTTTCTTATCGGTCCCCCTTCGGTTCGAGCTTGCCGACTGCCTTTTTGAGAAGGAGGTGAAGGAGGCTTTTTGGAGCCTTGGAGGCCAAGCTTCGGTCGTTGGAAGGGGATCTGGAAGGCGGTAAGGATGTAGGGTTTTGAACGTCTTTAGACTGAAGGAACTTTTGGATCTCTGCTAGTAACTGCGGGGAACCTTTGAGCATTTCTTTTCGTGTTGTGAGATTTAACTATGAGAAAAAACTGAGTACCTTCCCTAGGCAGACTAGGGGAAGCTTTTTTGACCGTTACGATGAGATGGGAGAAATTAGCACGTGTTGATGCGTTGCGATGTTAGGTACTTTTCGGGCCCGTGGCGGCTATAGACGGGTGAGGGAAGTCGTTGAAATTCTCGCATTAGTGTGTGATTGTGGTTTGGATATGTCCAGTGGATTGAGGCTCAACGTATTTGTGCCTTGTGGACACCTACCTGCATACTACGAATACAGAAGACGGATAACGTAAGAGGATATTCTGCCTTTAGGAATGGGAATTTTACACAATGGTTATACGTTTGTGAGTACGGATACATCGTGACGCTTCACCCACGCTAGGTATGTGCGTAGGGTCAACGGCAATAAGGTTTGCTGGGATGAGTAAGAGGAGGGGGGACAGTGTGATTAGTGAGGACGGTTATGTATGGACGGTTATGGATGAGGGATTGTGAAGAAGGTGGGTTGGTATTCCTGTAGGGGCAGAGACAAAGAGGAGTCCAATCCCTATTGCTGCGGTAAGAGTCAAGAAGGCGATTTTTGAGTTTCGGGGAGCATATTGGGTGACGGGGTTGGCTAGTCAGGGGACCTTGTTTCTTGCCTACCTTATGTATCTACGAGTATGGAGTACTGGATAGCAGATAAGGCACGTAGGGACTTGGTGGTGCTTGGCGTGATCGGTGAGGCGGTGAGCGGCGGATGGGTACGAAACTATGCGAGATGAACGTTTAGATCTTTGGTGTGTTGATGTGTTGGGTGTGGCTGCGGGGAGCGGGACGGGACGAGAGGGTGGCGGCGATGGCGAGGGTGACGGCGTGTACCTTCGACCGGGCGAACGGTTCATGGCTTTCGATGGAGGGTTGAGGTACATGTAGATTCTAGTCTGAGTTGCGTGATGGGTTTGGGGATGTATCAGGAGACTAGTGTTGGTGGTGCGGAGAGTGATAAAGAGTGTACAGAATGAGAGTTTGGTGGCGTGGATTGCGTGAGGTGATGCGAGGATGGTGTTTACATGTTCTTTCTTGATGGCGACATTTTGGGGATGGGTGGTGTACTTGGAGAAGGGAGGGGGAGAAAGCACGTATTTAAGGGAGGGTATTTCCCCGTCTTTGTATCTCTTCAGATTCATCGTTTTGCTCTGGTGGCTTGTCTCATGATGCAAGATATGGAGTTCTGGGAGAATATGTGGTCTCGAGGTTCTGGGGCTGAGGTCATGGTTAGAGGAGTATGGGAGGTGGTTGATATCAATCGTTTTGGGCTACGCATAATCACCCGCATCATCACGACGAAAGGCCCCTTCCCCCGCGAACGATGACGACAAGAGCAAACCGGCTGTACAGGGATGGGAGTGGGGTTGGATGAGCAGCATGGGAGACCGGCGTATGCTGGTGCAAAATATGATGGGGTTGGTTAACGGACCAGAAAGGGGAGAAGTTTGGGATATTGACGAGAGGAGGGAGATGCTGAAAGGAACTGCTGGACGAGTGGACGACTTTTTGCTACGATTGCTTCGTCGACGACGTCACACGCGGGCATTTGAGACGGGGGTTTGAACGAGACCGAAAAATGGCTATGCGGAAGACGGTCTAGGCCCGGGTGATCATATCCTTCACGCGGGGCCGAGAGGATGGGGGTTCTACGTGACGACGTTGAGGAGACATCGTGCGTTCTGGGATCATCGAGTTGTGTGCTACCAGGACGGGCATCGACGTGTGTTGGGCATCAGATGGGTTGATACAACGCTGCCTGCGAACGAGAGGTGGACGAAGTCGATGACGGTATTTTGCTGTCGTTGTTGGGGGGAGGGTGATGATGGAAGAGGAGGGACCTCTACGCGGTGCGATTAGGTTACGAAGGAATAGGTTGTTTGGGTTTAGACGAGGAGTGCCGGCTTTCGGGGCCTGGGCTATCGCTGACTTGTATCGGCTGGCATAAGGAGGCCTCAAAGGGTAGGGGTTACAAGCGTGCGGGAACATTGGACTAGGTGAGTGATACTTTGGGAAGTGTTTCCCTCGGCCTTGGTAGGTTTCCTGAGCGTTGAGGCAGCTTGTATCTTGCTATTTGATGGAGTGACACCTGTTGTTGATATACGACGACAATCCCCGTCGCATCCCGAGATGTCATAGAGCACTGCACTCGAGTCTGTTCGGTATGACTAGCTCGCCGTCGAGAGACAACGACTGTTCTACGTCGTGGTTAAGTTGGCGAGATGGTGATGTTATGTGAGCTGCGACCGGAAGACGGCATTAGATGACTAGGCGTCTCTAGTATGCTATTCACCTTTTCTGAGAGGACGGCAGATGAGGCAGATGAGGGGAGGATGTGAGAGCTCATCTTTGTGTCGAGGGAGTGGTTTTGGTCGTCAAAGCTTTGCCTAGCACTGCTGTATGGATCTCAATCTTCTTGGCATTATGAGAAAAGGCCCCCAAGGGATCTTTCTGATGTCCCCGATGCTTCTCAGTGAACGGCATTTTCAGACATGTCAGAATCCACTTCTGCTAATACTTCGGTTCGGCAGCCACGTCTTGTAGGCCTTATGTTTCCATCATTCAGGTAGATTGGCTCTGGTGACGCAAATATCGCAGCGAGTGGACTGCCATGGTCATTCTTCGACACGTAAAGTCAAAGCCAGGTCCACAGGCGTATGGGCGATGGAAGGGAGGGATTTGCGAGAAGTTGATTGGCGGGTGGCCGGAACATGACAGAAT